GTGAAAATTCAATGCATAAATAAACGCGAAATATAAAAAAATTCAATGCATTCAATACAAACACTTAAACGTTTTTTAGACGTTTAGGTAGCTCCCAGTAGAAAAATATCAATTCAACAGCGGCCTTTTAAAGCATTCTCACTTCAATTAATTAATTAATTCCTAATTGAGTTTAAATTAAATATTATCGTGTTTTTAGGGCATAAATCTGAATTGAACAACCTGATAATGTTCACTCTGGTTACTGTTTCCGTTTTTAAAAGCGCTGTATGTTGAGCCCCCGAAGCTAGATTTGGAATGTGACATTTTTAGCAGCAATCATTGGTTGATTTTCTAACGTTGCCATTCGGGGAGTTGTAATGTGGCTTTTTTTTGGTGCCGCGTAAGAGAAATATCTATATAGATTCTATAAAGAAGAAGAATATTCTATAACTATTACAGTTCTGTACGTTCTGAATTCACTTTATTCATTGGAATGACGAAAGCAATGTTGACTTCACTTTAATTTGTAATGAATTGAAGACAGAAAAAATTATTTTACCGTAATACACACATCTGTAACAGCAAGTGATTATGAAATTGAAAGTTAAGTTGTTGGTAATAGAAAGGTAAAAATTATTGAGAAATTGTTCTTCAAATGCTTGGCGTGTTCTGCTTCAATGTTTGGCATGTTCTGGTTAGTTTTTTCAAGTTCTTCTACCTTTCCTTAGGGAAATTTTGCTTCTTATTTGCTGCCAAGAAAATGGCTTCCGTCATTGCCAATGGTTATGAGGGAACTAATGCCCGATATTTTCAGGCTCCCGCTAGAGGGCGTACTCGAGCGTTGCGATCGCGAATATTAAAGTATGTGTGTGTAATAAACTTTTCTGATCAAATAGCTGAAAATATCACTAATGTAATCTTTCGATTCGTCGAAGAATGTTTTAATGTTGACTGTGACCTTCCTCGTGCTCGATCGAATTATCTATATGTTAAATTTCATCGTTATGGAGGGTTTAGGAGTCTATAAAGGACACACAGACAAACATTCATTTTCATAAATATATATATATTATAATAAAGTTTCATTTCCCATTAATTTTAGTTTCCTTAATTTATGAAATTAAGTTGTTTTCTTCTTTTTAAAATTCCCATGAACATACAGATTCAAATTTAGTAAAACTCACATCATATTTTATATTTTTTTGATTGATGAAACGTAATTTCATATTCCTGATGAATATAATTTACATTGTCCACCCATTTGTACTTTTTTAAAAGGTCAGACCCTCTTCAAAAATTGTAAAAATCGCAGCAATTATTTAGCAGATAACGTTCTTCATTATTAAATAGATGCAATATTAACATTTCGTCTAGTTACTATGTCTGAAACAGTGACTTTTCAAATCTATCTAACGAAAGAAAATAGTCAGGTAGCTTATCCTTATATGTACACCTCTGCATTTTCGGCACTTTTCGGATCATCGCAATATTTTTTGGTCGAATATTAATAGAATAATACGTATGCTTTGAGTAATGTTATTTAAACTAGTTTATTAAGTTTAATTAAAAGAAAAATGTTTTTAAAAAGTAGTACAAAAAATAGGATACCCTTGCTTTTTTATTGGTTCTATTTGATTTGTAATGCATGAATAGTTATATCACAAAATTTTCCTATATTATGACAAAATCATGTCTCAATCACTTGATTTTACAGAATTAATTTCATAATTTGGGAAAAGAATCTTCTTTAAGCTAGCTTTAGAATTATAATATGTCTGACTTTTGTTTTTAGTCAAATATTGTAGAGCGGAGAGCTTTACTCATCCACTGTAGTCTCCTTATCTTGTGTTATTACAAAAGCACGTTTTTACATTTTAATTGCTTTATTTGGCCTAATATTTGACCAAACGATTAAAAATTTCAAATATTGATACCAACAGAAGAACGTATTCGAAGTAAAATTCATGAGGAATTTTGCACGTGAAGAGAAAAAAAGAAAAAGAAAATTTTTTATTTTTTATTTATTCTTATTTATTTATTTATAACTAGTATTACGATTTTTTCTGGTTAAAACTCGCTTGATTCAAAAATTCATTTCAAGTTTTTTTTTAAATACTTTCGTCTAGAATTTCATTAAGATAAATTCGATAAAAAATCGTCTTAAAATTTTTAAGGCGAAATTGCCTTTCTGCCTTGTTATTTAATTTATTTAGTGAATGAGCAAAATATGACAGAAAATTACTAAATCGATCATTATTCTTTGAAAATCATTTATCAATGAATACCGAGAAAATCATGAAAATATTATTTTTTTGCACCATTTACAATTGGATACCTGAAAGTGACGTCATCGTAATTAAATCGTGGCATTTGTCTAAAGATCCTCTATTGTGGATATCTAATTTATGGGCTCTACATTTGTCGATGCAGAAACTAATCAGGTTTGACTTGACGCGTGACGTCACTTATAGGTATATCACATGGTTAGGCAGAGTAACTTCACTTCTTCTCGAGTTGCAAGTGCCCAAATGTGAGATATTTTATTAAAATTCATTTGTTAGTTTTGGTCTACTAATTTATAAATAAATAAAAATTTCAGACATATAAATAGATTGTTAGTATTAAATATATTTTTCTTTCACCCATGATTGCGTGAATTTTTTAATAATTGAGTTAGAAGAACATTAATTTTAGAAATTGAGTGACATCTAATTTTTGAAATTCATACTTCGAATATTTTCTGAACGTGTTTAGTTTCAACTCATTTTCTTAAGTAAATATTTTAAATAATTTCGTTTTTGATAATGGGAAATTTCATTTCGATATTGTGAACTTTTCACTTTGCTAATTGAAATGAGTGCAAAGCATTCTTAGAGCTCAAGAAAGAAATTTAATATTCCGTTTGCATTAATTTTAATACTTTAATAAACTCAGTACTTATATTAATGCTAGAAAAGTACATATTATTTTGTAAGACTAATTTTGATCAAATACATGTCACTTTTTTTTAAAATTCTTTTTAAAAAGAAATTTTATAATATTTTTTTATTAATTAGAACCTTTATGTATGAATTAGCAATACAATTAGTTTTGAGGATTTAAATTATTCGGCCTTTTTATCTCTATCAGACTCATGTGTATGAATGTTGTGAAATAATCGCCTTTCATGCCCTTTTAATTTTCTCTGGCAAACAAACATGTTTTGATAATTTTAAACCCGGCTTTGTTAGTGGTATTTCGAAGGGCTAAAGAGAATAGAAGGGCTAGTTCACTCCGCTCTTATTGAGCTGAAGCTACGATTTCCCTCGTCATGACGTCACTGTGTCCACAGATCTCGGAAGATCGCGCGCAAGGATATTATGATAACTTTGCATCTTTCTCTTTGTAAAAATAAGTTAGACTTTTTCTGGTTATTAGCTTTCAAACTTTACGTAATTAACACATTATTTCCATTCATAAACATAGTTTAAAAAAACTTTCTTGGCCATTATATTAAAAAAATAAAATTTTAAACTTATAAAAATATTTTATTAGTTGGCGAAAACGACACTATAAATACTTTATTTTAAAAAGTTCAGTTTTAACTTTAATTATTAAGAAAAATGAAACCACATATCGACACTTTTTTATCTACATATTCTTTTATAACAATAAGTTGAGTTAAATTTAGAATCCCCGATTTTAAAATATGCCGTTAATAGCAATTTGTTCATACTTAATCATTAGGAAACATCAACCTTAAACGCTAATTACTGAAACAAAATAATAATTTAGGTTCATAATGACATTAGAAATTTTACAATTGTTTATAGACATTTAAATTTACGATGATATAATTTATAGATATTTAAATTGAAGAGAATATAATTTTTAAAAAAAATCATAAATATTTAGAATAACTACATTAAAAAATATGTTATGAAATTAGGAGAATTTCAACTATATACTATATATTTTATTTATACTTTTTATTTACATTTTAATTTTCTTTGACTTTATCCATTTTTTAATTTTTTTCACCTGCCTTTCTTTTTGAAGTAACGAGGCGGTTTCTATTTAGATAATGAATTTTTATAAAAGTTCTTAACGACAGAATAAACGTATTGCTGTTTTATATTAACTGTGTCATTTCGGAATCCATTCTTTACATAGTTGTTCATTTACTTTAGGGAACACGCGGAAAATTATATTTTTTCCTTTTGTTTTTCTATCAGAATTTTTACAAGTTGCAATCGCGCAAACTGGCATTTCGTTAATAGTTTTAAATTTTTATAAATTCACGGCAAAAACTGAGGGAAGTCATTATAGGAAATAACAAATGTCTTAGAATATGTCACAAAAAGAAATGCTCCAATATTAGTTAGAGCTAGTAAGGCCGAACGCTCTGTTCTTGAAGTAAAAGTGCGAGCTTCGCGCCAAAGTGACGTCACTAGAGAAAATCGGAGGATTGGCGCGGCGAGAGTTTCTTCAAAGGAGTGAACCAGCCCTTCTATTCTCTTTTCTGCCCTGGGTATTTCGTCCTAATTGTTTCGTCATATTTAAGGGGTTTTTTTTCCTCCTAAATATTAAATAGCTGTTCCTATTGTTTATATTTTTCATTTCATCTTTCAACAAGGATTCTAGAAATATATGATGATTAAAGAGACCTTACTGTATCGATTTTTTACTATATTAAATGAAATAAGATATTTTGTTTTAATATTACTTTTTGTTATAACCCTTATTTTCTTTCTGTGTGCTAAACTTGTAGAGCTGAAATAATTAGTAGAACGAGTATTTCCCCAGAATTAAAGGTATTTCCCCATCTTTCCTTGAACGAGTCTCTCTGGATATCATCAACCCCTCTCTTTCGGCGATTTTGGCGAAGAAAAATTGTGTTCTGATGAAAAGAGGAGTCCTACAAATTTTATTTTATTTTATAACCGTCGATGCACAGTTTACGACTACCCATGCTCAACTCCTTGTCATTTTGAACCCAATCCAGAAGACAAGGGAACTCCTGGATCAAGCATTGGGACAAACCAGTCTTCGTGGATTACTTTTTGATAGAACTAACTCGCATTTGCATTACATGAAGAGGAAAACCACGAAAATCTCTCATGCTTAACCAAACGGCAAAGGGATTCTAACCCGTGATCTGCCTACCACTGAAGATATTTTATGTCGGTACTGCGGTCGATACTTGTCGGGAGCAGAATTCGTATCAACAAGCCACTGTTAGATTTCGAACCTGGATCACCTTATTGTGAGGCGAACGAGTCACTGCTGCCCAGTCCTATGAATTCATGTTTTATGCCTTCAAGGGGAAAGGAGGAAAGGGAAGAGCTTCGGGGGCATTTATAATTGTAGAATAGTAAAATATTTATGTCTCCAATTACTTATAAGCAATGTATAAAAAGTGCTGCTTTTGACAAGTAGTTATGTATGCAATTAACATTGCTATCCAGGTACGATCTGAACAAGTAAGATACATATTTTCCAAAAGCAGTTTTTCCAGTTAAATTGAATGAGATTAATTCCGAGACTATTGAATTAATAGTCTAAAAGTTATTAGTGTTTTCTTCATAATAGAGTGCAATTCAAAAATAGTACTTTTCATTCAAAATAATTATTATTATTATTATTATTTTAACTTTTGAAATATTTGCTCTTTTGATTTGTGTTTGGTTTCATTAGATTAAATGAAGAAAAAAAACATAGTAAACAATACTATGATTGTTCATATAGCGTAAATAAATGCAAGCATAAAATTGTACTTCTTGTACAAAAATTCTGATAACTTTTAAATTAGTATGATACAATTCGGCGTTAAAATTTAATAGTAAAAAACCATACCATACATGCTCAGATGGTGCCAAGATAGCAATTTATATTGTATACATAAAGGCTTGTCAAAACTTGCACTCTAGAAACTTTTAAACTATTGGTTCTATTAACTTTTGTATAGTCTCATTCAATTCGGCGGAAAAAAATACACAGGAACAATGTCTTACTTGTTTAGTTAACAAATAGGTACGAGTTAGTACTTTTTGTACAGAAAATACTCAAAACTTTTGTGCCTGTAACTGTAATTATAATACTTATACTTATAACTATTAGTCCTATTGGTTTAGTTTCGTCCAATCGGAAATTAGTTTCATTCAATTTAACGAGGAAAAAAAAACATCGGTAAATAATATCCCTTCAAATCACCCCCATTTACCGTAAAAAAAATAATAAAAAAAATTTAAGCGTATACAGGAGTTTTTAGGTAACATTTATATCATATCAAACCTTTTTTTTTTTTATCAAAAAGTATATTTGGTATTAATTTTTCTTAAGAAAAATCCTCATTTTAGTGGACTATATTGCTTTAGCCACGCTTTTTCAAAACGAAACTATACAATGTAAATTGTGTTCGTATAAAGGTTAAGCAACTTTTTCCTATCAACAAACAAACATCAAGAATTCAAATATTTATTAAGAAATATCAATATTCACATACGCTCAATGTTTTTTTTTTATGAAGCAATACGACTTGTATATTTTTTGTCCCAAAAGTACCAATCAGTTGATGTGATTATGTGAAAAAGATGAAAAATCATGGCTAATATACAATATCCGAAAAATAGGTAGCATGGCCACATCCATTTCCAAGCTGTTATTATTTGAGTGATGTCATCATCTAGTACGTGGCATCCAGAACCAAGTGTCGAAAACATTAGATAATTTAAATACAAACTGTCTTCTGCAGGTACACCCAGGGTGAAATGAACTACAGATCCACACATGATGTACAGAACAAATAAAAGAAGAGCGAATACAATGGCGATTCCACGTTCCAGTCGGGATAAACCTTTCACCGAGTTCTTAATAGTTTTTGCAGCTTTAAATGGCTTGTAACAACAACCATTACTTCGGATATTATTTGGATCGGTGGTATTTAACTTTGAAACACAGTTTCTTAACTGCTTAGTGAAAGAAAAAACGTCAAGATGAGGGAAGTATTCTGGATTGTGCCGGATGATATTTTCAACCATCAACAATGCGATTTTCTGATTCTCTTGGGTCTCGCATGGTAATTTCACTGCAAACTTTCTGGCACTGTTTTCGGCATGATTTGTATGGCCGTTTGCCGATTTCATGATCGGTGCAACTGCATTGGGTGATTTAGTTTTAAGTGTCTTTTTTGTAGAAACGTAGTTATTGTAAGAGTTTCTTTTTGGCTGTAACAATGAAGAATCGTCTATTGGACAGGATAGGTGAAAAAGATACATCCAACATATGGCTAAATACAATCCACATTTGTATAGGCAAGTCATCATGATAGGTACACCCATCAGGCTATAGCATACTGCTGCAGTACGTCCCCAATCAGATCTCGGCGTCATAGCTCCAAATCCTAAAAATATTAATTAATAGAACACAGTTTTAATTTAAGCGATACCATAATGTTGTAAAGAGTTAAAATTCCATATAATTGTTTTGTTTTAATCGAATCCTTATATTGTCTAAATTATAGATTTTTTGATATTCACTCAGTGTAAAGGCAATACATTCATGGTTAAATACCAAGCCCTGTTACCCAAAGCGTTATCTTTTAATGACTGTGGTAAGATAGCCAAGTAGTTTCGAGCCCAGTCAAACGAGATGGATAGTACCTGAGTTGGTATCCCTCTCTCCTAACTTCTCTGCACCAACCAGAGGACTTTCAGTCACAACAGGTTTAACCCTTTGACGCAGAATTTTTATTAAACATATTTCTCATACTTTCTTCATCCTTTTGTATTGATTTACGTCAAAATAGGTAAAAAAATATTATACTTATTATTTTAAAAATGTATGGTTATTAAATGCAGCAGGAAGGTGAATTTTTTTGTGCTAAAGGTAAAATCTTCCTAACGCGGTTCACTTCCAAACAATTTTTCAAATTTGCATATTTTTAATATGAGTGGGCAAAATGTTTCAAACTACTTTTTTTTTTGGATTACATATTCTAGAACAAATGTAACTCCGATACTCTAACCGATAAATACACGAGTGGGCGACTTTTGTGCTAAAATACAAACTAAGGTAAACAACGTTAAAGAGCACAAAAATATTATGAAAAGCATGCTTTTAATAATATTTTTGTGCTCTTTAACGCTGTTTACTCTAACCGATGTTTTTAGTAACTATAAGATTGTTTTTGATAATTAAAAAATATCAAAATATACTTTTGCTTTTAAATAGAGCGTCAGAAAAAAATATGTAAAGGGACACCGGTGTCGTCCCATCTGCGACAGAAGATTAGCGTGAACCACGCTCCACCTACACATTAATTGTCAGTGCTTTAACGTTATATTAATTGTCTAATAACATCGTTAGTATAATCAGGCATATAAAAATACTACTACTGATACATATTTTCAATAATATTAATAGTTCATGAAGACATACAAAAAGAATTTAAAAAAAAAAAACACAGTAACATAAGGTCGCAAACGCTATTTGGAGTCGCTATCAAGAATTGAGAAATATACGAAGATATAAAACACAAATTATTCTACATCTTCCTTATTTTAACAAAATTTTACGATGGCTTGCTTAAAGGAATACTAAAAGGAATACTAACAATGGCTCTGCAGCAAGGAATAAAGCATCTTTTCAAACATATACTAAATTTATCTCGTTGCCTTAAACTTCAGACATTTATTGGTGAATAAGCTCTGAACTTATTTTTTGACCCATTAAGGCGATCTAAGCATTGTTTATGGACCCTCATTAATTGCATAACTTTTATGATTTTGAATACTTGTTTAATAGAAGCATCCATCCCATTTTTTCATTTCGGCATGATATCATTACTCAATCATTTCGCAATAATTATGAAAAATAACTGTTTTATTATTTATTTGAATGCATTATTAAAGTAGCAGAAAATATTTTTGACAGAAAATATTTACTAAATTTTTAAGAAAAAAAGGATATTTTAATTTAAAAAACAAATGTAAAAGAGATATTAACTCATGAAATTTACTCCATTGATTTTTTTTTTCTCAAGATTGATTTCAGTACCCAGGACTGAAGAGTGGTGCATGTCAGTTACGTATAATTGACACATTAAAACAAGCTATAATCGTTTTACTATCAGTTTTTTTTTCCCCTTCACTTTTCCGGATTAAGTACAGACCTGAACAGTTTCTACTTATCGCTTATAAAACGCAAAAACTATACTTATTTTCCCGATATTATTTTGTTTTATTCCATTTCATATAAATTTTTTTTTTTTTAGATTAAGGTATGCGACTAATTTCGACAACTCTATTTTTTCAAATATTAATATAAAATTTTGAAAAACTAGTCTATTAATTTTATTATGTGTAAAAACTCATAAAACTAGCAAAACAAATTATTATTTTCTTTTCTTTAAATGAACATTTTTTGGGGAAAATGAGGCATTTTTTTGCATATACGCTAAACACTGTTAAAACATTTCTATACCCCGAAACAAAAATTCGTTTAATTGTTTTATTTAAAGGGCTATCCATTATGTTTTAAACTATTATCTTAAAAGCAAGTGCATATACTACTGTGTTAAGGATCAATGTAGTTGAGAAAGCAAATTTTTAAAAATATCCGCACTTGCCTTTGCGAAAAAAACCTGCATGAGAAATGAAATTCTACTTTTTTCTCTTAGTTTATCGTTCAAAATCTGTCTGCTATTATCATAAACACTCAAGAAAAAATGTAGACAATTATTTTAAAAACAATATGAGGAGACATCGTGCTTAAGGTGGTGCAAAATGTGAAAAAAAATCTGATTTTGAGATAAACGCTTTTTCGTCTTAAACTCATTAGTTTATCCACTGTTATCACCTCTTGCACAAAAACAGCTATAACTTAATAAATAATTGGAATACAAACAAAGGTTAAGTATTTTTAGAAAGCTAAGATTACAGGAATTCTTAATTCATGATAAACACAATTTCAAAAAATTTGTCCAAAATCATGTTTTTGCCCTAGTTATACCTTAAATTTTTATAAGTTTTTTCAACAAAAAAAAAAGAGTTTTAAGCGTATTAAAATGTTTGATATGTTCTACAGCCGTTGTGTATATTGTCACGCAATAAAATCAATTAAAACAAGTTGAAAGCTTATCTTGTTTATTTAGGCCATCGTTACCCTCTATGTCTTCAATTTCCGCATTCTTCGACTTGGTAAACAAAAGAGTACACAGCTTTATATATTAATATCTTTAAACACGCAAATTAATATTTAAACAGTAGAGAATTAACTCTTTAAACAACAATAATACACAGCTAGCTTTGAATCATACTGCGAAGACGAACAGCTCATATTTGTTTCCAACCGTTGATGTTTAACTTTAGATTTAAATATAAATAAAAAATGTGTGCCCAACTGTTGCAGATATTTTTCTCTTTTATTTGATACGTTTGTCAGTGAACCTTATTATTAGGATTTTACTTATCCCAATAGCATAATTCAGATTTTATTCTTCTTAGCTTAAACCTATATAAATGCTGATTCAGTAGAGTGATTAAAAACTCTTAGGTAGGCGGAACACAATATACTGTCCGAGAATTGAACAGCAACCAATTGCTGGAAAAGTCAATGTACGCCACAAGAGGCTCAACTCTATTATGAATTTGCTATTAAAAGCGGCACTTTTATTCGTTGTAATTATCTGAATTTTTGCTAAAGTTATATATTTTTTAATAATTAATTGAATGTGTCAGGAAATAGTTTTTTTTTTAATCGATTTAATGATTTGGTGACTAAATTGCAAACACCGACTATTTGGCTGCCAAACCAGTAAATTACGATAAAACAGCTAGGCATGGGTCAATTCGAATGCAATTTGCGATAATAATGAATAGTTAACATAAAATTAAAGCAATTGGGATAAATAAAAGTACCGATTCAAATGCTCACGAATGGTTAGCCCACAACAAGGAAGCTGTAACATTTCCGAGCATGGTCTGCGCTGCAATTTTCAATCCTTATAATGTCTTCTACCTTCGCTCTAAGTTTATAATCGCTATGTTTAATCACCGGTCGCCGTGGCTCAGAGAATGGAGCGTTCACCTCCCCAATGAGGTAGCCCAAGTTCGAATCCCAGAGGTGTCGGGTTAATACGAATTCTGCTCCTGGATCACACCGACCACAGTGTTGATTTAAAAATATCCTCGATCGTAGATGGATCATGGGTTAAAGTCCCCTTGCCATCGAGCTAACCGTGGGTAGTTTTCGACGTTTCCCTCTCATTGTAGCGGCAAATACGGGTTAGTTCCGCCAGAAAGTCATTCGAGTAGGCTACTTTGTCCCAATTCTTGATCCATAAGTTCCCTTGTCTTCTGGAATGGTTTCAAAATTACACTGCTGCGGAATTGAACATTGATAACTCAGAATTGGGTCGTCGGTTAATATAATTAAAGATATTCCTTTAATAAAAACAAAAACTCATGATTACAGTCAGCTATTTAAAATATTGAATAATACAACTAATTATTCTAAAAAAATACTATATTCTACATGTGTTCTACCAACCTGTTGTGGTTATTAAGGACATAGAGAAAGCGAAAGAATTTTCAAGACTCCATCTCTGACAGCCATTTCTGTCCTCCCGTCTCTTATACCCAACAGCAGAAGCCTTCAAAAGATCTCTCTCAAATATTTCTAGATGCTGAAACACTTTGCGAGCCCATATTTCTTCGTGGGGAATCACTTGGCGCAGTTCAGTGGCCAGAAGTATAGCCGTGTCATTTTTCCACTTGTCGATTTGATCGTTGTATTCAACATCTCGCTCCTGTTCTAATTTCGAAAAAAGATAAGCTCCGAAAATAGCATATGCAAACACACCAACGAGAAAAAAGCATGTTATGAAAAATTCCCGAAAGAATTCGATTCGTGTAATATCTTCTTGTTGTTTGTTCAAACTGTAATGGCTGTCTGGCAACTCTGTTTTGAGCTTTTTGTATTGAAAATAATTCGAAACAGTTGCACTGCAAAAGAAAAAAAAAAGAAAAATCTTTTTAAACATTTGTCTGCTTATAATTAAGAATATGCAAATATTTCTATCTACTAAAGTATTTCTAAATCAATTACTAAGAAAATCCAAATNTTTTTGTATTGAAAAGAATTCGAAACAGTTGCACTGCAAAAGAAAAAAAAAAGAAAAATCTTTTTAAACATTTGTCTGTTTATAATTAAGAATATGCAAATATTTCTATCTACTAAAGTATTTCTAAATCAATTACGAAGAAAATCAAAATTACTTAAGAAACAGTACTTAACCCTTGGGCGCAAATGAGACACTGACATAAATATACTTTTATGAATTTTTTTTTCTTGCTCTCTAATTACAAGTAAAAATATATTTTGGTATTTCTAATTATAAAAATCAGTCTAATAATTACTCTTAGAATACTGGAATTATATTTGTACTAAAATATAAAATCCAAAACATTATTTTTTTTTCATTCCTATTCAAAAATTTATCAATCATTGATTTTGTAAATTAAAGAAATTTCAACGATGGATTACTGCTTCTCTTAGATTTGAATAACTGTAAATTTGAAAATTTTTTGTTTGGAAGTGCTGCATTTCATAAATAATTAAAATGATAAATATAACATTTTTCACTTATTTTAACCTAAATTATTACAAAATAATGGAAGAAATATGAAAAATATGTTTATAGAAAAATCTGTGTCAAAGAGTTAAAAACTATAAGACCATTGTTTCTTTTTTTAAAGAAATAAATATTTTATTATCTATCTCAAATAATGGAGTAAATATGTTAAAGAGGTCAGAAATATTTCATGATAATTTTAGAGGTCGTTAATGCCAATTTATTTCTTTAAAAATTCATTGGCTAGTTTTTATGTTTTCATTCTTTTTCATAAAGGTAAATTAAAATTTAAAAAGGAAACATTTAAAAATAAATTGTAAAGTTCTTTTGTTTCAAACAGAAGTAAATTCATTCGTATTCTCTCAAATAAAACTATTTAGTAACCATACTGTTTTCATCGTTTTACGAGACTCAAACGAAAAGTAATATCCAAATCTCTATAAATTTTAAATCACATTCGTGTTAATATTGTAAAGATACAAATCTCAATGTTGCTTTGCTAATGGAAAGAATATGGCAAAAGAAGAATAGTGACATTAAAACTTGTCGCATGAGTTATTGAAATAAATTATTCACTTCAGAAACTAGACAGAAGACGTAGTTAAAAGTTTGATGAGTTACCTACTTTCATTTTTCAAAACAATTTAGAAAACTTTTGTCCAACCATTATTAAATGTTCGACCAAATTACTAGTTCAAAATTTTTTCGCGTCAAAAAAAAAAAAAAATTACTGTGCAACTTGGAACAACTAATTACGATCTGTGAAGAATAAATGCATGTATAAATGGGTCCGCCCTATAAATGGGTGTGGCAAAACTCGAATTCTTGGCCATAGATGGCGCCACTGGAAAACAAGAACTATCGCACCCCCTTGCCTTAATAGCCTACAACAACAACCCGGAACAACTTTTAATCTAATTATTGGATAGGACTTAATGGTTCGATTGGGTAGCCTCAAATATGGACGATAAATTCTAATATATTGGGTAGCCTCAAATATATTAGAATAGACGATATTTTAAGTTACGGAAGTAGACGTAATACCGTACTTTCTCTGAAAAAACATACCTTTTTTTCGGACATATTTGGATTTATAACCCTCAAAATATAGCCGCAGTCTGGGAAACAGGGTCCCAATAATTTGGTGAGAAGAGCCATCTAAATATTGGACCCCTCAGTGTTAATATCACTTTTTGCGTATTTCGCCATACTTCAAGAATTGTTAGAACGAATTGAAACATTTTCGCGTTCAATTATGGAATATGATGATCCCAAGATAGTCTTATGGACAAAAAATTTTTTAATAATTATTTATGGTTTTTTATTACTTTATTTAAAAAAAATATAGTTGAAAACTTTTAGAATTGTGAGGTATACAAATTTTTATATCATTTTAAGGAATGTAATTAAGTTAAAATACAAAATTTGAACGAAATTCCGGAGACATTGAATTTTAAAGAAGAAATTGAATTAAAATTCAATCTTCCAGGAAATATTCAACCTTCCATATTTCGAGGGTTAGAAACCCAAATCCGTCGACAAAAAAGGTTGTTCATTCAGAGAAAATATGTTTTGTGTCTGAATTCTTATCTTAAAATGCCATCTGCTCTAATAAGTTTGCATATTTGAGGTGACTTCTACTCCCCCCCCCCTCCCGCCAGAGAACATGATTCCAGTTTCTTGAAGATCCAAAAATTAGATCAAAAGTTATTCACGGTGATCCGTTATTTTACGCACACCTATACTAGAAGTACTAGTACCCAATCCAAAATATCGCTGATGTCTGTTATCAGAGTGAAATTCGTTTGGTACTAGTACCTTCAGACAAAATAATAATAATAACAAACAATAAATATATAAAAAAAACTTCTCTAAACTTTCAATTTTTATTTTTTCAAGGAAATTAAAAATTATAAACGATGCAATAATAGCTGCTGTAAGGAAACAATTTATTACACGTGCTGTTAGTTTACGTATGCTAAATTTCATAACTGGGTGCTTGCACTTAAATAAGAAAATCACGGATACCCACACGTGTGATCTATGACGTCAGCACCAGCTAATACTTTATAGGTAAAATGGTGTAATAAAGCTGAGCTAAGTATTCAGCATAAGTTAGAATATTAATTAACTTGAAGTTATCGAATTTGTTGAAATATAATTCTTTCTCGTCTATATCTTTTACTTCACTTAGATTTATTATTTGTTTATGTATTTTATTGTAATCGTGATATATATATTTGTTTGGTATGGATGGTTGGTTGAATGTAAACAATAACTAGAATTTAGAAAATTTCTGGCTTAATATTCTTGTATTATTGTGATTTGTGTTCAAATGTATGCTTAATTTTAACATTAATAAGAGTTTTCTGTGATTTACATATTTTACGTGGTTGTGAACCTAAAACTAATATCAAAGTGCAAGGTTTGCCATGTTTTGAGTGTTATCCTATATTTGGCTATATTTGTGTAAAATAGTACAGTTTGTCACTTTTTGGGTTGCATCATTGGATGCTTGCGGAGTCTTTCGAATTCATTTGCTTCGTTGAAATTTAAATTGAAGGAATGCGCTGTATTGTAAACACTACAAGTATAATAATGTTGGATTGCTCGCTTTTTCACTCTTAGGCATAAAAATTAATCGGAAGTAAAAACCCTGAAGTCTTACAGCGAATTTTAAGTCCTAGCGCCATTTGTGCTTCTGTTTACACGGTCAATCCTGGCAACTTCGACGCATAATTAGTTTGTTTATGTTCTATACGGCTTCATGCCTATCTTTGTGTTAAGTAAGAAATATGTAAGGAAAAAATTGAAATATTTGTGAAAGAATATACAATGTGTCACTTAAGAGAATTGACACTTGCCACACTTGGCGGTATGAATGTACAATAGAACGGAAGGAACAGTTGCTAACGAAAGCAAATGCCACGTTTCAACAACCAATCAGGATCGAGATACCCACACTTATAGGTATCCCATTTTAAACTTGCTTTATAAATCATTGCACCTGTTAGGTGAATATCTACTAATTATCGATTCAGGCTTTTTTAATTGCTTTTGGAATAAACACAGGTCAGTTTAATCAATCCTTACTCAACTATATATCTTTACATAATGGGAACTCATTCATTCTAAAAATGCTCTCTTTCTGAATTATACCTCAAACTTATATTTATTTAAGCTTGGTAATCAATGAATATGTTCTTCTGTTGAGGCACAATCTACGTCATTTTGGTGAAACTTGAATCAATAATTCAATATGCACACAATTGCGTGATATGTAAAACTCGCTGTAAACCTATAAAGAATATCGATTTATTTCATGCACTTAACGTAAGAACATCACCGAAAAAGAAACCATTCATTTACTCGAAAAACCTTTTGACAACATAAATAACTAACCAATTACGAACCTCGATCGAACGAATTCGTGACAATGCAACTTATAAAAAGCTCTGGTTTTAATAAATATAATGTAACTTAGATTGGTAGGTATAAAGGGTCTGCATGGATTTCATAAAATGCTAGAAACAACCAATTATAATCTGAATCGCATACTGTTTATAGTTGCAGAATCGATCTGTGACAAAACACAGATTACATATAAGATACGTTATGAGGGAAAACAAAAATAATCATATTTAAATAAGCACCGCGTTGCAAAGTGATTAGGTGTATGATACATTTAAGCTTTCATATTAGGGAAATTATTTTAATAGATTTCGAAAATATAGTGAATACAAACAAACGCTTTCAAGAAGTTCAATTATGATGGAAAATGTAAACATTTCCTAGTTTTAAAGACCTTTGGAAAAAAACGAAATAAAATTAAATGTTTGCCTTCATTTAAAGAGCAGCATTCGAAAATTAAATGTTTCGATTGCTTATAGAAACATTCGAAATTAAATAAATGAGTGTTTTTAGGGCGAAATTTGCACATTGCGTAAAAGAATAAAGGAAAAACTCTGAATACCTCTTAATCTAATGATCGGATTTTCATACTAGAACTCATTCTTAATGGTTCGAGGGGGTTACCTCAAATATATACAGACAGACAATATTTTAAATTGCAGAAGTAAAAAGAAGAACCTACTTTCTATGTATAATTTTTTTTCTCCTTTTTTTTCCCCGACGGATTTAGATTTTTGACACTCAAAATGTGTAAATCTCAAATGTCGTCATCTGGAAAATAAGACTTGATCAGAAGAGCGGTCGAAAGTGTAGATCCCTAAATTTTACTTTTAGAATATTTTGCCAGGTCTCGAAAACTTTTTAAATGAATCGAAACTTTTTCCAATACAATTTATGAAATTCGTTTATCTAAGGATAATTCCATGCAAAAAATAATATTTAAAAATTTTTTTTTCATTATTTTATTTAATAATAGTAATCAAAAAAAGTTGAATTGTTAGGCACACAAATTTTTACATCATTTTAAAGGATGTAATTTTAAATGCAAAATACAAAATTTGAACGAAATAGGCCGTTTCTGTGTTATTAAATTTCGAAAAAGTCTTACATTAAATAAAGATTTGATCTAAAGTAGATAAATAATTTGAGGAAATATAATTAAGTATGGATCTGAAATTTTTTAACGTAAATTTTGTTGAGACAGTCTTATGAGAAAACATTTCCCTTCTCAATACTGATTGGGAACGGAATTATATCTAATGTTCTGTAACAACACTTTTGGTAATAATAAATGTTTGGTAAATGTTCATGAAATAAATGATAATAAAATTATTTTAAGAAGTTATATTAATGCTGATTTTTTTAACTGATGAATAATTTTATTTTGCAAATTAGAACTGCGATATAAAGAAAAATCGAAGAAATGAAAAGAAATGGAGGAATCTTATAATTAATTAAATATCAAATTCCATTTAATTTGTAAAATATTCTTAATAAGTAAAAAATTATCTCAATTATTAAAATATAACATAACATCTACATAAACATCTACATAATGGAAAAAAAAATTATAAACACATTGCAGGCGGGCAACTTTTCCATAAAATATCATCTGTCTGCTATAGATTAAGATCTAAAGTATATAAGGCAAGTTTCGTTTTTATATAAACTTTAATATGATTGAAGAAATTTCAGACATGTATTTTCACATGATCCGCGTGTTAACTGCACACAAAATTTTTGTTGCGACGATGAATTTTATTTGCAATTGCATCGAAATAACAGAATTTAAGATATGAGAGCAATAAAAATATTACCAAGACTAAAAATACCCGATATTCTTCCACTCTTCTTTTTATAAATAAATCGTTGTTTCAATTAGCGTATTGTATTGTCGTATCAAGAGGTCGCAGTGTCACAATTGCAATCGTATCAAAATAAAATTAAAAAAAAAAAAATTAATAATAATAATTAAGAGCAAAAAAATCAATCGAAAAGACTTTCAATTTCATATTAAAAAAAGTAATAATTAAAAAGTATACTAATCAAAAGTAAATAAGTAAAAACTAATTTATCATTCCTTACGAAATCTGATATTTGCCCATGCTCTTCCCAAATTGACCAAAGAGGTGAAGAAACGAATTACCTTGAATAACTTTTAATATAATGATCGGATTTCCACGTACTGGCACTCACTCATAATGGTTTCAGACGGTGACCTTAAATAGGTTAATTAGTGCAGATGATATTTTAAGTTACGAAATCAGGAAAACGTACTTTCTGTCTGCCTTTTTTCGACTGATTCCTTGCCCACAGTAAATAGGAAGGGGGGTAGTCTCAATAGTTTTAGGTCAAGAAGTGGGTCGAAAGGTCGGACCCTTCAATGTTAAGCGTATTTCGTCATACCTCGAGCAATTTGTAAGTGAATTGAAAGATTTTTACATACAATTATAAAATTCATTTATCCAAATATAATTTAAGGCAAAAAAATATTTTTTTATAATTATTTATTACTTTCTTATTATTTACTTAATAACTGAAAAATTTTGCGTCGTAAAATATACAAATTTTTACACCATTTTAAAGAATGTCATTTTTAATGGCAAAATACAAAATGTGAATGTTGNGCACGGAATTTAGATAATAACGCCCCTCTTCTTTCCTGAGAATAGGGTGCATATATACACAGGTGACTTAAAACTAGATACCATTGGTAATGTGTGGAGTCCATTTAAAACCAGCATCTTCCTATGGGAACTACAAAATCTACACTTGATAAAGAAGTTGAGGCAATAATTCAACATTTAAATGCTTCTCTCTTTGATCAGGCAGTCGATTCCCTTGATTCTCTTGCAGCGATCTCGGCTATCTCTAACTGCTGCAAATCTTTCTGTCTCAGTAACATTGTGAAGGTTCCTACTATAGAACCTTCAAGAAAATCTTAAAACTATTGCCATGCACAGGATTCCATCTCACTGCGTGGAAGCGAGATACAGTTAAATTAGCAAAACAAAAGTTGTACCGTCCAACAAACCTCTTTTGAGGAAGTTAACTATAGATCTATCGCTTCAAGGATCCATTGGGCTATAAAAGATTTATATCTATCAAAGTTAAAAGAAAGGTAAGGGGGAAAGCACTGGAGAGAAACCACCCTTAATCTCCCGTCCCGCAGCGGACTGACTGATCGTAAAGACTGGGTTCGCAGTTGAACATCGATGCGGTCAGTAAGCGAGTGGGTGACCACTTTGACCAGCCTACATAGAAACCGAGGATACGCAGTTTCTACCTACCTTAATCTCCCGGAGTACCCATCGTTGTTTTTCGAATAACGATCCAGCTCGATTGCCTGCATGCTCACCTTTACAGATTTATAATCATCAACAGCCCTGCTTGCCTTCTGGGCTCCAGCAACCGGGTGATGACTGCTAATCACCTGTTACTCTACCCAGCTCTGAAAAAAAGTGCATATGCTAAGAAAATGCTAGGAAACTTTGATTTAATCTTCTCGACTTCTTGTGTTCTTTTATTGCTCAGTGTCATTTGTTTGTACTTCGCACGCTATTAGTTCTTTTTTTTTTGTAGCTCGCTTTTTTTCGGCAAAAAAATTGTATTTACTCTCGCTTTGCTCCTCTGGAAGTAGAAAAAAAAAAGGAGGATTCTTAAATATGATTTTATTTTTGTCTTAGCTAATTTGAACAAAAGTTTTTCAATTTCCGAAAAAAAAATTTACAATTATAGCAAAATTTCATTTAAATATGTTACTAGTATATAATAAGTTGCTACTTACTTGGGATTTATTGTTGAAAGTTGAGAGTTAATATTTTGAGGTACAACAATAACTTCTCGGTTTTCTTCCTCAGTTGGAGGTTCTTCCAACTGAACAGAACATACTCTTTCATAAGTAGGAAGATCAGTTTCTGATTCGTGTTCCTCATCTGTTCTAGTATTTGTGTTTTCTGAAACTTCATAAATTAGACTTGTATTATTATTCGGTTGTTTTGGTAATTCTTCTCCCGATGAAGTGCCTATTTGATCTTCATCATCAATAGCTTCTTGAACATTATCTTTTATCTCAACACTGGTTCCTTCATTTTCTGTGACAATTTGCGAGGTTGTTTCCTCATCTTCCATCCTCAATTTTTTGAAAAAAATTTCAAGTCACATATTCATCGCGAAAGTTGAGAAATCCTGAAATGAAAATTAGAATACACAAGGTGTCATAAAATGCATTAAAAACAAATATTTTTATTTTTAATCTAAAAATTAAGATTAAGGGCGGCCTTGTGAGGAGAGGTTCATTAAACTGTGAGAGCTTGTGACAAATAAGAGGGTACCAAGAAATGTAACATCACACATTTTGTTTAAATTAAAAAAAACGCCCAATGAAAGCAGGTTAAATAATTGTGTGTCATCTATTTATATTTTCTCTCATCAAAATGTACAAAAAATCATTATAATTGTAATGCATACAAATGTCATTAAAAATATAGAATTTGAAAATAAAATTTGTGATATGATTTATTACATAGTGCTTACATGTTCGTTGATGTCACATGAGGTGGCATATGACTAGATGAAGCGATTTAGTGCGTCACTTTGTGAGGAAAAGGGGGTCAAAAATATTGAGAGGAAAAAAAAGGTGCTCCTTTCCCTTTACATGCTTTTTAAAATAGTCTAAAACAGGTTATTTATACTTTTTGAACGGAAATACTCATTTCGTACAAAAAATTTGAACGGAATCGTTTGTCCGACTCGTCCTAAAATTCATACAACATTTTTTTAATTAAAAATTGTGTGTTTTCTTATTGTTTTAATAGTTACGTGTAGTTAAGTGTCGAACAGCATATCGGCTTCCCCGGTTTAATTGACACAAACTCAATTTTCATTGACCTTTTTATATAAATCTGGTGAAACTTTATTGATACAGCGTTCAAATTTCTCCTTCAAAGTGTGGGTTTTTTAAACCTTACCCTGAACTTAACCATAGACTTTTTTAAAAAAAGTCCTGCGCCTAAAAAGCATTATCTAGATAGCCAAAACAGAAAATTACACCACCAGGGATCGACTAAATAGTATTAAAAATATCGTTCAAAAATCTGAACAATGAGCAGTCCAACATGTGTAGGAGTTTTTCAGTTGACAATATTTTATTGCATAAATTGCCTGAAATTCAAATTTTTAGTCAAGTTTTGAACGCCTATTAATGTGTTACAAAATTAATTTATGCGGATTATGTTTTTTATTTCACCTTTCAACTTTTTAATCATGCTCAAGCCACTTATACCATGATAATCTCATAAATTTTTTTAAGAATTTCTAAATATCTGTTTGAAAAAGGAAGAGAAAAGCAATTATCGTTTAAGTCTGAGTGGAGCGCTAAAAGATTAGCCGTGAAGATCATTACGAACATTTGCAAAAGAGCAACTATATTATTATCCTCATAGAGACTCAAAATTCTCGTTATAGAGATAGAAGCTCCTGGTTCAGTTAATAATAATAGTTGACTATCACGAATTAAATACGAACACACCTATTGATTTTGTAGACTAAGTGGCGCAATAGCTATCGGGAACGAGTTATAGTTCATTACTCTCGTGGTCATCAATATTGATTTTTTAGTACAATAGGTATCATTTCACGAAACAGGCATTAAATCTGTTTGGAAAATTCTATTGATTCATGACTTAAGCTTATTTTTCTCTGTTATATTGAACAATAAAAATAATGCAATAAATTTTCAAAAGGTGAGAATTATTATTATTAATATTTTTTTTTTTGAAATGCTGTACATTTTTGAAACTATTAACGTACCTTACTGTATATAACTGTATTTTCATATGATTTATTTTATTTATATTATTTAGTTTCATTTTATGAAAAAACTGATTGCTGAAACACATTTGAGAAATTGATTTTTAAATCATTATACGAGACAAAAAAAAATTAAAATTAATTTTGATATAATATGAAATCCCTGTTGTTGTCAGTGTTTTTCTGTGCCGTGGTAAGCGTTTTTATGCCATTAAATGTCGTGGGTCGTAGGGTGCTAAAGATGTCGCTATTGTCTGTCAAATTGCTGATCGGGAACTACCGCCCTGTGGCATCGGCATAGGAGCTTTTGCTTGCACACAGACCGTCTCTTCCCATCGACTTAATTTGTGGTGCTCATACAGATGCGTGACTCGGGGCCTTGTGCCGATGAGTCCTCCATTGCTTGGTGCTTTCGTGCTGCGGCATACTGGGGTGTCTAACAATCGGCGAATGGACTGAATGACCTGCCTGAGGCCACAGTAAACCTTTAATTACCTGTCTACGGATTAACAAAATTTTAAATATATAAAACAATAAATGAATAAACTGGGTCTCGTATTAGCCTTAACGAATTGAAAAATTAGAGTCATCCGGAAAGAAAGTTTCCCGTGGCCATAAAAAGAACCAAAAAATAATTACTTAGAAAAAAATCATAGCAAAAGATATATCAATGTTCCACTGCTTCGTATCGTTATCATAAATCTACTTCGTGTCATTAGAGCTGCTGTGTAACACTTGTCACATGAAACAATAATTTTCTGTTATCCGGTGTACTAGAGGTTTGAAGTCTGGAAATTGATCCTGGAAAATCACAGATGTCTGCCCATCACTGCGCAACAGTAGAAAACAAGAGGTGTGGGATGCTCAGTGTTCTTGTTGCTCCACGACCATGTTACGTCCCACATAAAATCACGCTGCAGAAGTTTTGCTGTGCGACGTTTAACAATAAAGATGTTCAAGCCAGTGGTTGAACTAGATCAGTAATCCACTATCATTCAATCAATTTCCGTTCGCGCTATCCTATTGCACGATTCGCATTCTTATGGTAATAGAAACGTATTCCTCTTGGTTGCTTCTGTAGCTAATTGATCATTCATGGGTTTCCAGTGGACGGGTAAGTGAATAGAGTGACGTCAGCTTAGATATCTTTATTAAATCCCAGAGATTTCCTCCAGAATTCTCTTACACCTGAGGAAATTACTACTGGCAACTCAACTATGACACGCTATCTCGAATCCCAGATGGCAGACAGTGCCGTTCCTGGGGTGGCGAACGCCTGCGTGCAAGAATAATTTTGTGCGCCCCTATATACTATGCTTATACTTCGAATAGTTGAATTTGGCGCCCCTTAAATTGGGCGCCTGCGTGCGGGGCATTCGCTGCATACCCGCCAGGAACGGCACTGATGGCAGACCTATATAATAGTGGGCTATAAAAACTTATCTTATGGTATACTTCAGATGGTTTTTATGATGAAAAGTTCCTAAAATATTGCTGCAGTTTTTGCAATAATTCTTTACCGAGAATTATGTTGTTTCGTTTTATAGGCGGTGGGAGTAAACTTACTTTACGCCTGACGTTCTTACTGGCTAATGCAAAACAACATTATTTTCAAACAATTTTAAATAACGAAACATTTGGAAGCATTTCTTAACTAGGCTCTACTGTTTCATCTGGTTTTATTGTTTCAACTGCGCAATTTTAAATTCTTTATTACAGTGGAGCTTAAAGCAATTTAATGAAAAGCCGCATTTTTTAATTGTTCAAGGGATAGCGTTATTGGTTTTCACGATTTTCATGCATATACCAAGATGTTTCTATGTTAAGTGTTGCTATATTACAAAATAACTATCGAGAACCGTGGTGGCTCAGGGACTTCCCTTGACTTCTGGATTGGATTCAAAATTACAAGGCTGCGGAGTTGAACATCAGTAGTCGTAAATACAAAATTGGGTCGGCTATTCAACGTCGGTTATAAGATAAAATAACTATCGACAGATATTAACGAAACAGTTTGATGTAAAAATATCACTTTTGAGATAAGAATGTTATTTTCACTGTACTGCCCCGTTCCTTTCTTTAATTTTGCAGAATATATAAATGTGTCCACTGGAATACTCATGAAAACTTACTATAATAAACACAATCCCTTATTTATAAAAGATTATTTGACTGGACAAATAAGAAAAAAGCTATTTGAAGCACTGATAATATGTTGAAAGAAATTATTAAGATCTAAAACTTTACAGGGTTGGTGGAATCCTTGTCAAAAGGGAACTCAACCAGATCAGGACTAATATACTTAAGAAAGATAAAACAAAAGCGTTATCAAAATTTTTCGAAACGTTATTGAGGTAAATGAAGCTTATAACAATAAAATATGTTCATTATTATAAGTAACATGTTTTATTGATGTAAGAGCTTCACCTACAACAATAAAACATGTTACCAAAGGTATATGTTTTAATGTTATCGATGTTTGTTTGGTTTATATACACCAAAGAAAGAAAGAGAGGAGATAAAAGTCGATTCGAAATACCAAGTTTCATCAGATAATCCAACAGTCTTGGACATTTTTCATCTAGCCTTCTTCATTAGTGATTCGACAGATTTCGATAGCAATCCTGTTCCTTTTTTTTATTAATTTGTGATCTCTGTTATGTATAGCATACTTTCATTTTTACAAGGATTTTCAAAGAAATATACATTAAGGGTAGGGTACTGTTTGCGGAACACGTGGTATATTTGCATTGAATTCAAATATTATGTATTGGACCGAGCATACTAGGGTTCGTGTGGATTGGAGGTGAGTAAAACAGTTTTTAAGACTCCGCGAGTTTATTACTAGAATCTTACTGAAAATATAGCAATTACCAGCTCTTAATTTCAGCACAAGTATCAGTGGTGCACACAAAACTCGTGCTTCGCAATCTCAGACGGGTCAATGAACTCACCGGAGGCACTCTCAGATCAAATCAGATATTGCACTCACAAACAGACTAATGCTCTACAATTCTACTCTACGAGGCACACTCCTATTGATATAGAACCCTGGAACTTTCGACATGATTCTAAACGATTCTCGCATAACTCCGAAAATATGAGTCCAATGGATTAGAAATTCAAATTTTTTAGAACAATCATTTTGTAGCCAATATAGTCACCAAGTATCGCCAAGTCGCCAAAATTTTCGCGGAAGTCGAGAAAAATGTCGCCAAACCGAATAAGAAATCCAGCTCTTCGCACACGTAAATAAAGAGGGAAAAACAATTTACAGGGTGAGCAACATACTCACATTTAGCAGAGCTTCATTTGAATTAAGATCCAGCGCATGCGCAAAAGAAGTAAAGTGGCCGTGTTCATGCATGGTTGGGTACGCTGCTTCCAGCCATTTCAATTTTTCTTTTTTGTCAAAATGTGCTATCAGATTTAATAAACACGGATGATATGAATGTATTCTCAAAGAAATTTCTTAATTAATACTGCAATATTGTTTATCAATACAGAGCAAACCAACGATAGAAAACTTTTCTTCTTCACTCCAACTCTTCCCCAACCCCAGTATCGGTTAGGAGGAGAGGAGGGTGCAACCTTTGTTGTTATGTCCCTAAATGTTGTTTTTTCCTTTATACAGAGGGATCGCACCTAAGACTGGTTTACATTATGTCAGTGGAAGCTAGACTTCTTTCCCTGTATATTCCTCTGTACGAAATGCATTAGGCGTTATTTTCTCTCTAAACTACGCTTTTTTGTTTCACGAATTTTCTAATTGAAATGTTTATTTGTCCTGATAGCAAAGGAATATTTACAAAATTATACCCATTTTTATAAATTATAACACCACTCTTTCTCAAGTTGCAAGCAAGAATCCCGATTGCGTTGCTGAGGAATTTTAAGACTGGAGTTGCAGCCAACACTAGAAAAAGTAAAATTTGTCTAAGTATAAGACTCGCACTTCTTTTTTTCAAAAAGATACTTTTTACTTTGCTACCAAATGGTTCGTTTTGGCAACAATAGTCTGGATGACTCCCTATTCTTTTCCCTCATAAAATAAACTCTCTAATCTCTAATCTAGGTTGTAGTTAAAAAAGGAAAATGTTCGAAATCTCTATTCTAGATATATTTAAATGAAAGTATAAAAAAAATAATGACCAAAAGTACTGATTACAGATTATGCAATATCATCGTAAAAAGCACTTTACAATATGTCAAACTGTAACATTAATGGGAAATGTCTTCTTTTTTAAACGGATGAACTATATTTTATCTGTTTTAAAGATACTGAAAAATGTTATTTGGCTAAATGATTTTTCAGAGAAAGAACAGGAAAATTGTCATTTTTGTCTGCTTCTAAAAAAGACGTTATTATTTAACGTTATAATATGAACTTCTATGAGACATTATAAGATAAGATCGATGGAAAAATTTAAAAATGATCTATAAGAGTAATTTAAGTATTTGAAATTAAATTTTTGTACTTATTTCACAAAATATTATTTTAAAAGTTATGTATAAAATTATAAGGAATAAAAAATAATTCTAGATTTGTTTTTCTTAACAAAAAATTGTAGACTTAAAAAAATAAGTATTTAATTTAATTTTATTTTATAACCATCGTTGAACACCGATCGAATTTTCAGTTTACAACTACCGATGTTCAACCGAATCCAGAAGACAAGGGAACACCTGGATCAAGTAGTGGGAGAAATTTGCCTTGGTGGAGGACTTTTGGATGGAACTAACCTGCAGCGCTACATGGAGAGGAAAGCCACGAAAACCTCCCTCTGTTAGACTGACGGCAAGAGGACCCTTGATGATATTTTACCCCACTGAGGATATATAACGTCAGCTCAGTAGCCGGTGAGACACCATTGCCGGGATTCGATCCCGTTTCACTTCATTAGGAGGCGAGCGCTTTAACCCCTGAGCCACTCGGTTCTTTTGCAATAGTATTTCAAAAAAAAAAAAAAAAAGATATCATAATTCGGTTGTTATAGCATACTTGCTAAATTTTACGCAATTCAAAAAAAAGTGTTTTCCTAGTACTAGTGTAAAACCAATGAAATTGGGATTTGATGTTGGTGTTTGTAAAACTTTAAACAATTAAAAACACTATCACAGAGTTAGCAACCTATTATACATACGTTTAAATTATTGAAATGTAGACAAAATCAATTTAAACCGTATTTATTTATTGAAGAATAAAATGTGATTTTATAAATTTTGTCACCACATTAAATATAAAAATAAAATATTTCGGGAAAATCGGAAGAGTTGGCAAGTATGGTTACAGGTTAAAATTTAAAGGAATTCTTGGCAAATCTTTACCGAAGTTGCGCTAAAATGCCCCTGAAGCTACAACTTCAATTTAATTTTTTTCTTTTTTCGTTGAGTTTTGTAATGCTGAATAAGTATCTCTTCGATAATTTTTTTTAGTAATAATAAGGAATACGTTTTTTTTTTCCGAAAGGAAATTGAAAATGAAATAGTTTTAATACCACTGATAAAATTTTCCTACGGTCTTAAAAAGTTTAAGTAGATTTTTATTTCTCCAAGAAACAAAAATTCCCGTTATACAATGCCAGTGTTAATCCATCAGTATCGTAGAACGAAAACATTTGTTTTTATTCGACATCTCTGTTATGGGTATAGTTTTACCATTTTAAAGTATCTGAAAATATTTCAGTTACGCTTTCCATAAATATGTCGTTCAAATGTAGTTCAAATATTGAACAACTTAAAATAAATTGCTACAATACATGCTTAATAAACCAAAAGTGTTTTAATACTCTTTATATCGTTTTAAAATAAACTTTAAAAGAACAGAATTTTTAAGAAAGCGATACTGTAATTTAACCTTCGTTTCATATTATTTTTAAATTTTCATTAAAAAAAATTCGTTGTTAAATTAAATAAAAGATACTAAGGCACTTCTAGAGAAATAATTATTTTTCAGTAAGATGTGTCCAAAATTTCACAGCTTCTTTTAATATATTACTTATGTTGTTGTCGTCGTCAGTCATTAAGGCAGAGGGGGTGCGATTGTTCTTATTTTTCAGTGGCGCCATCTATGCCCAATAATTCGACTACTGTCACACACATACATCACATCCGGTTATAGGATGGACCCATTCATACATCGATTCATTCATCCACAGATCGTAATTTTGACCCGAACCAGAGAATGATCCATCTCCAATTCAATACCCCCAGAGGTATGATTTGTTATGGGAGCATGGAGGTTTTTGTGACCAGACAGATTTAAAATTCTCTAGTCACCATTTACTACATGGGAGCCTTCGACCGGCTGGATTCGAATTTCCATTCTCACGTACGTGAGTCCAGCGCCCTGACAACCAGGCTATCCCTACTGAATATATTTCTCGTAGAATGTATAAATTCATAGTTTTCGTTACTTCCCTTGCTTACGGTTTTCCATAGGAAATGTTGGACCAAAACGCGATCAAATTTGAAGCAGCGTTAATATGGTGCAAAATTGAACCATATATTACTATTTCACATTTTGTAAATTTGTTTAATCGCTGTAACAAAAGAATTCGCAAATCTCAGAGTTCCTTAATTCAAAATTTCTAGAAATTCCAGTAAGTAAAACAAGTAGAGAATTCTCTCATAATTGCAATACGGGTAACGCAAATGATGGTTCGTTCCATCAAAAGTCCCCCACAAAGGCAAATTTCTCCAAATATTTGATTCAAGAGTTCCCTTGCCTTCTGGATTGGGTTCAAAATTACATGGCTACGGAGTTGAGCATCAGTAGTCGTAAATCCAAAAATTGCGTGGGGGTGTTCAACGACTTTATTAATGAAATAAACAAAGATTTCATCATTTGCAGATTACTTTTCTTCTCAGACTTATAAAAACAAGCCTGAAATATTATTCACAGGAGAAACAAAAAAAATCATTTTTTTTAAAAATCGATAACTTTGTTTTAGGTCCTTAACAAAATTTGTTTCCCAATCTGCAGATATAGATATAAGCAAAAAAAAAAGTGATGACTTCTGAAAATTTCAAATAATGTTCTTTAATTGACTCTTTTAAAAAATACGAAAATTTCATAGACAAGAAGAACTTTTAATAAATGAATTCTAATGTCCAAAAACTCAAATTACTTGCTTATAGACGGTATACGAACTTATTCCATTTTTAAAATTGAAATTATTCCATTCATTTAAAAATGTATAAATTTTAATTAAAATGAAAAACATTTATAAAATTTTTATTAATTTTGATCTTCTAGTTTACATGTACTACTTATATCCAATTTTTATATTCTAATTTTGCTGTACACATGTTAATTTAAGCCTACTTTTTACAATAATAGTTTCTTTCTGACTATGTTAAGGTCACAGACAAATTTGAATTTATAAAGGTTATGCTGTAAATTGGCTCTGTAAATTCTGATACCGGGGTTATAGCTAGTAAATAACTTTATCAGACATAAATATTTAGTTAAATTATTTACTGTAAATAAATATTTAATGAAATTACACCTTAAACATAAATATTTATCAATATTACCAATACAATTAACTATACGGAAGAAATGAAAAACTGGTAGTAAAAACAATTCATTTTTAGTTTTCAGAAAAATTAACTATCCATTTTTATCATTACTTATAAGCAGTATATTTATGTACATTTATTAATGAAATGTTATAAATTATATATATATACAGAAAAAAAAAATAAAAATGAGGTGCTCTTACTACCAATTTTTTATCTTTTATGGGGATGACATAGTCATGAATTATCCTCTAAACATATGTATTTTGTAAAATTACTTACTAAAAATGAATATTTAATAAAAATTAAACATTAGTATTTACCAATATTACCAGTGCAGTTACCTAAACGGTAGAAATTAGAAACTAGTAGTAAAAACAATTCATTTTTAGTTTTCAGAAAGAAATTTTAAAAAAACGATCCATAACTATCACTACTTATTAACAGTAAGGATGCATACATTAACTTTAGATTGTTTTTAAATCTTGTTTAAAAAAATGACTGTCAGCAAGAATACTTTTCTTCTCGAAAGAAAAAAAAATTAGGGGCTCTTACTAGCGATCTTTTATCTTTTTCTGGGATGCCATGAATTATCCACACTAACATTTAGTAAAAATAATCATTAGAAAATAAATACGCTTTCTAATTTTGTCTAACGAAGAGGTTACACAAAATGAATCAGAGAAAATTATATAATAGGATACTGGTGAGTGCCACTACTTTAATAGAAAACTATTTTTCAAAATATAAAACTCACGTGGTTTCATAGTTGCTTTCCAATTCCTTTGCCTAGAAGCAAAGAAGACATTTATGACAACCCGAAAGAAGCTTCGTGACAACTGGGGCAACATGCAAACGATTCCTCAGCGCAGTGCTTTCTCCAACCATCGAAGAACAGTTGTTGTGTGCTATGTTCGAAAAATGAAACTGACAGGAAGATGAATTGACAATTTTCTCTCAAAAAGGCTTTGCGTGACAAAGAAAAATTGAGTACTGGTTGTCAACTGAGGCGTTTTATCTCAAAATAAAAACTTTGAATGCTTGTTTATTTCCTTATCGATAGCTTTAGATTGATTTATTAGTAACTGGCCATATTCGGCGCCCAGTTTGTACACTTTCATAATAAGTAGAATTTTAAGTGAGTTGATATTTAAATTCGCATAGTCAAAAATTAAGTTAATTTAAAGTGCATCAACTGATATTTCACTAATGACGGTGGTTTTATTTTCATGTCCTCCCAGGGTTGGCATTTCGTAATAGGTAGAAACCTATTTCTTCCAGGATACTGCACAAAGTGGGAAAAAAACGGGAGATAACTGGAAGAAACTAAAAGAGAAAAAAAAAAAGAAAACGAATGAAATTCCTTAATAATTGAATAGTTCAAATTTAAAACAAATAAAATTTAATGTAGTAATAAAAATAATGAAAGCTTTTTCACACATATTGTCTTTAAAAATCTTCTTCTTATAGTACAGAATTTTAAAATCAATTAAACTCATTATAATAATTTAATTTGAATTTTATTTATGTTACCCTTATTTTCCTAACTTAAAGTGGGCATTTATATTTAGATGATTGTGTACTTATATTTTTTTCAGCTTACTAAATATTCCCTTTAAAGATACGATCAAATAAAAAAAACTAAAAATTAAAATGTTAAAAATTAAAGATTAAAATTGAAAATTAAAGATAAACTAAGCAATAAACTAAAAATTACTTGGTAAATATTCATAAAAAAATTATTGTTTTGTTAAAAAAAATTTCCGCTGGTTAAATTTTTATTGCAAATTGGTTAAAGCCAATGTAAATTTTTGTTATCTTACAAAATAATTTCTCTGTTAAAAATACTGATTTATTTCACAAAAAAAAAAAANGATTTAGTAGGAACAACATATGACGCAATGCTAAACGAATGGAATTTAGTTGCTGTTTATTTAGTTATTGTTATTAGTAGTTGTTGCTATTTGCTTCAGTTGTTGTTGTTTATTTAGTTGTATTTAGTTTCAATAACTTTTCTTTATAATGCAATAAAATCTGGCGAGCAGCTATTTAAACGATCGAACACTTCGTTTGTTTATTTGTGGCTTGAAGTTAGGCTAACAGAAAATGCCGTTCATGGGTTAAATTTAGTAGGAACAACACAACCTGTGACGTAGGCTATATTATACCCAATTATCTATCTATTTTAAAACTAAATAAAAAATGAAACTAGTAAAATTTGACGTAATTTTTGGTCCATTTATTTTATAAAAGAAGCTTTAAATTTATTTTCCATTTAATAATTTAAAAAAAAAAACTCATAGATTTGAAAATGTAATTCCTTAGTTTGCTAATAAAAATTTACGAATTATTTATTTTATGCATTTAAATTAGCTTATAATTTTATGATTATGTATGTAAAAATACAATTTGTATTAAAAATATTTATTGATAAATACCATTATCATACTATGAAAGAATTTATTTTAGTATATTAATAATTTATAATGCATTTGGTTAATAATTAATAATGCATTTGGTTGTGAAAATTTGCATATAATTACTAAAATTAGTAGTAATTACATATACAGTGTATGATTCCTAGTATAATACAATAGATAATTTGATTACGATATTTTAAAAGTTCTCTAATTTAAAATTCTGCTATTCTACTTTACATAAAATTCTACTTCACTCCTTTAGGAAAACTTCGAAAGAAACTACATTTCTTTTCATTAAATTTATTTTTCCTCCCAATTTTTACTTTTTAATTTTCACTTTCTTTAATTG